AGGGAGGCGAGAGGGGGGATCGGGATGGGGAACACATGTAAATCCATGGCTGATTCATGTCAATGTATGGCAAAAACTACTACAATATTGTAAAGTAATTAGCCTCCAACTAATAAAAATAAATGAAAAAAAAAAAGAATACTGGTGTGGGTTGCCACTCCTCCAGGGGATCTTCCCGACCCAGGGATGTATATTTGAGTGTAAATGAGCAAGAATGATATTATTTGTTACAAAATCTGTATGCCCAGGCCACACCACAGAACTACCAGGGACTGGACTGCCAGAGAAATCCTGACAACTGGTATATTTAAAGCCCAAATATGTCATAATCCATTTTGGAACCTAAGAATACATCTTTGATTATACCCAACTCATCAGTTAGGATTTGATACCTACAAAGATGGTAATTTAATCTCAAAAGATTTACTCCTATCTCTACAAAGTTAAGGGGTTTCCCAGGTGGTGTAGTGTTAAAGAACCTACCTGCCAATGCAGGAGACACAAGACTCAGGTTCAATCCCTGGGTTGGGAAGATCCCCTGGAGAAGGATTGGCTACCCTCTCCAGTATTCTTGCCTGGAAAACTTCATGGACAAAGGTGCGTGGTGGGCTACAGTCCATGGGGTCACACAGAGTTGACACATCTGAGCATGCATGCACACACTGCACAGTTCACGTGTGTATTGTTCTATACCATGGAGGGACTTTACAAGTTCTTTGGAAAGATAAACTTGAAAGTGAAAGTCACTCAGTTGTGTCTGACTCTTTGCGACACCATGGGCTATACAGTCCATGGAATTCTCCAAGCCAGAATACTGGAGTGGGTACCTGTTCCCTTCTCCAGGGGATCTTCCCAACCCAGGGATCAAAGCCAGGTCTCCTACATTGCAGGCAGATTCTTTACCAGCTGAGCCACAAGGGATGTCTTTCATGTGCTGGGCACTGGAATATGGAAATACAAATAAAAGTCCAGATCTTATAGTAGTAAGACCAGGAGAAACAAGATCACTCTGCTGTGATAGGTGTTACTCAAACAGCGTGCTGTGACGATAACTTTCATTTACTTGAGAAGGACTTTTTAATCTTGAAGGATCCTTAAATTTTTTCCATTTATAAAAGCTTTATTGAATTTGTTACAATATTGTTTGTTTTATGTTTTAGTTTTTTGGCCTGGAGGCATGAGAGATCTTAGCCCCCAGTCAGGGATTGAACCTGCACCCCCTGCTCTGAAGGCAAAGTCAACTCCTGGGCTGCCAGGGAAGCCCCAACAATTGCAAGCATTGGCCAACACTGTAACACAAAGCATTCCACGTATAAACCTCGTTAAATGCTCATAGTCATCCCAGGATGTGGGTACTATTCCTGGTCTCTCCCATTTTACAGATGAGGAAAGGAAAGTACCGAAAGGTTGAGGAACTTGCCTAGGGTCACACAACTATCAGACAACAGAGCCTGGATTCAGATCCAGACAGCCCAGCTTCAGAGGCCTTGCGCTCAAACCTCAGGCCATATTGTGTCATGAGAACAAAGGGGCAGGAAAGAGCACTCGTGCCTGTAGGAAGAGACACTTCCTGGGGAAGACAGTGTGAGTGTTTGCCTTGAGAGATGGGTCGACTTTCAAGAGGCAGAGATGGGGGCAGGACTGTTTCCCAGCAAGTGCACGGCGGCAACGTTAGTGGATATTTGGAAGTAGGAAAACACTCTTGAACAAAGGCATTTGGGAGACTGTAGGGTCCCTGATAAGGAGAAATAAGCTAGTAGTGAGGGACATGGGCCAGATTATGGAGGCCAGATTATGTCAGGATGCCAGTAAGGATCTGCGTTTTGGTTAATAGCCATTTAGGAGTCACTGAAGGTTTTCTTTCTTCTAACTAGTTAATTTGGCTGTGCTGGGTCTTAGCTATGACATATGGGATCTAATTCCTTGACCAGAGATTGAACCAGGGCCCTCTGTTTTGGGAGCATACCGTCTTAGCCACTGGACCACCAGGGAAGTCCCAGCATTGAAGGTTTTTAAATGGCAGGGGCACAGCACAAGTTGGAGCGTGGTCTGGAGGGCGAGAGGGTGGCAGGAGACCAATTTGGCAGCAGTGTTAATAATCCAAGCCCGGGGAACAAAAACAGGCTAGGAACAGTGACAGGGAGATAAAAGAGGAAGTAACAGACGTGAGAGGTTATAGAAGGACTTGGTGTGGGATTGGAACACGGAGAGCAGTGAGCGGAAGGAGCCACAGGAGCGGCCCATGTTTTGACACTGGAAGGATGGAGACACCATTCCCTCCGATAGGGAAGACAGGAACAGGCCTGGCGGAGCAAAGGGGGCAGATAAATTTCCCTTGGGAGTATAAGGAGTCCATCTCATTATTCTTAAGCCAAGCCAGCAGGAAGATTTTCTGACTATTATTTGAAGCCCCGCTCGGAGACTCTTCGCACCAACTGCTTTCAAATTGTTCCATGACCTTTTACTTACTGAAATTGTGAATCTATCTATGGCACAAGATTTTAGGAATTCTGCCTTTACTTAATTATGGCTCTTCGGTCCTAGAAGGCTGTGATGTGGTGTAATTCCATCAAGAATACAGGAAAGCCAGAAGTGAGTTTCTTTGTTCAAGGAATTCAAAGCAAGCTAGGGGGATGGTGAGCTTCTGTCCAACTTGGGCAAAAGTTAAAACATCCTTGAATTGAATTTGAAGTCATTAACAGTTCAAGACTTGTTGCTCTGGACTCTATAAAGAGGTGATTAACTTTCAGGGAGGGCCTGGTGTTAGACCTCGTGGTTAGATAGATTAATCATAGATGCTATCCACAGCGTGGTTCATTCTCTCATTACCCAAAGTGTGGTCCATGAACCAGCAGCATTAGCATCAGGAAACTTACTAGAAATCTCAGGTGCCACTCCAGGCCTATGGAATTAGACTCTTCATTTAATAAGACCTCAGGTGATGTACATGCAGTCATACAGATTAAAAAATACAGGCTTTGGGGATTTCCCTGGTGGTTTGGTGGTTAAAAATCTGCCTCCCAATGCAGAGAATGAGGTCCCTGGTTGGAGGACTAAGATCCTACATCCTGCAGGCCTACTAAGCCCGAGAGGCAACTACTTTGCCTGTGCTATAAAGCCCAGAACAAACCAAAAAAAAGAGAAGAGTATGGGATTTGGAATCAGATGTCTAGCTTTAAATCTCAGTTTAGCCATTTAACTACCAAATCTCTTGAACCTGCTTCATGTATAAAACCAATCAGTGGCCCTAGACTTTAGTTTCACCTTAGAACTGGATATCTTTCCAAAACCACCATGGCCTGGGCATACTGCAGACCAACTAAATCAGCATCTCTCCCAGGTAGGATCGTGACATCAGAATTTAAAGGCCTCCAGGGGATTCCAGTGTGCAACCAAGGTGGACAGCCACTGATGACTTTGAAGGACAAGGGTGTGGCCGTTGGAACCAATCTTCATGTGTATTCCACTTCTACTGTTTCACATATGAGGACTTAAGTTTCCCTAAGCTTGAGCTCCTCCACCCATGAAATGGCATGACATGTTAGAAACTCTTTTAAAGGGCTCTGGGCATTGAAGGAATTGACATATGTGGCCACGATGCAGTGCTCAAAGAGTATTTGTTATTATTTACACAAGTCCCAGCTTCCTTTGCAGAAAGAACCTAGGAAGCAACATGTGGTTTGTAGTTATCACATAAATGCTGGTCTGTGGTCATGATGGTGGTGCTTTCCCCACCAAGGCTGACTTCCAACAACTTGGCCTCCAAGAGGTTAATGGGTGCTGCCTTTGCTGTTGTAAAAAACATAAGAACCTATTGTTTTTCTTCTTAAATTGGAGAATGAGGTAAAAGTGGCTGGCTGGCAAGGAGCTTTCGCAGAATGGGTGAGTGAGGTTTACATAAAATGCTCACAACTGTGGGGTCAGGGTGGGGTGGGGGCAGGGGCAAGGCAGATCATGCAATGCTTGGCATTCTGCTTCCCAGAGCTCTGCAAATGGGAAAGCAAGGCCTGGGGAGCTGAGACTTACACACAGTCACGTGCAATTTAAGGCCATGAGCAGAAGATGTAAAGTGACCCTCGGTCAGATGGAGAGGAAATAGCCTAGTTGTGAAAAAGGAATTGAACGAAAGGGAAAATAAAGACATTAATACGGCTTTGAACCAAAGAGCTTTTAAAATACTTGTGGCTCTAACCTGCCCAGGAGGTAGATAAGCATGTTCCCTTTAGTTTGTCCTCAAATTCAACCTCTCGTAAGAGGTTAAGAAACACACCCAAGGCTGGAACTGACACTCAGACCTCCCGACTTCCTGGCTTTGGAGCTGGGAGTTCAGCCTCCAACTCCCTTGTCTATCAGGAAAAACATCTGGGTTATAACGCTTGAGGATGGGATATCGAGGGGAAGTGGTGGAAGTTTGGTTCTTTAAGGAACTTTGAGCGAGACTGCAGAAGACCCAGCCAGGCGCCCCGCCCATGGCCTGAGTCACAAGCACAAATGTTTCTGTGCTTCTTCTATCCTGGACGCTTCCCTTGTATGACCTTCAGGGAACTCTATTTGTCTGAGATGTTGGATGGGAAGAAAGTGGAGACTTCAAAATGTGTGAACACAGATAGGTCCTGAGGCACCATTGCGGTAACAAAGCCTTTCCTTTACACGTTCACCTGTCCGTGATCCCACGAGGCTCCCCTACTGCACTGGCAGATGCCTACTTAAAACAAAGAGAGATGGGGGGGAACAGGCAGGACCACAAGGAGAAAAAGCAAGGGGAAGTCACCTTTAAAGGCCAGAAGGTTATAGAAAACATAATGAAATACAACGGTTTCCTTTAAAATTTTTAATGGGCAGGAAATGGTATAGAATAACTGCCAAGTCACATAAATTAACGTTTTGGTTAATGTTTGTGATCCCGGAAAAAGCCCTCTATCGGTTGATGCAAATGGCGGGAGAGTTTTCACTGCCCGCTGCCTGGGTGCGTGCCTGGGTGTGGGGCCACGGACCCATCTTCACATGGTCCAGAAAAAGAGACGGCTGCCGTGCCTGGCGGGCTTCAGATCGCCTTCCACCTCGGGGTTGGGCTCTGGTCTTGCTCTTGAGTGATAGGGATTCTCTGGTAAGGGCCGGTCTGTTTTCACTTTGGTGACCTGCGGAGGGAGGAAGAGGAAAAGGGAAGCTGAGAGTCAGGTGCAGCAGCTGTGACCACAAACACACCTCCCGGGTCTCCTCTCTGTCCCGGCAGCCCCAGCCACTCCTCATCGAAGCCCTAAGCACATCACACTTCACCCTGAATACATACTGAAGAATGCCTACTTTGTGCCATGCCATGTGGAAGAAGTTAGGATACAAAAGGGAACAAGATTCACACAGTCCTCGATGCAGGAGCCAGACAGGAGGCCATCCCCAGGGGCTTCCCAGGCAAGTCACGGGGGCGGGGGGCGGGAGGAGCAGGACCGCCACCCACCTGCTGTCCTCCAGGGGCCCCAGCTATTTCTGAAGGGGGAGCATTTAGCTCCATCTTGAAGGATGAGTAGGAACCAATCAGGAAGGCAGAAAGGAAAAGACCTTCCAAGTAAACCAAGAGTACAAGAGGGAGGGACGAACGTCCTTAGAACAGCCGAAGGACAGGCTGTGCACCTGGTCCTGTTGTTGAAGACGACATTATTCCAGCTCATGCTGACACTCCTCAGAGTCGACCTGCAGGTTCCCTGGGGCCACCAGGCCAACACTGGAAGCACCAGGACTTTAAGCCAGATCTGCCTGCGCCAGGGCCTGTGCCTTTTACATGTCGCAGGATGCTGGGAGGCAGGGGCCAGATGATGAAGGGCAAAGATGTTTGAATTTTAATCCAGTCGCAACAGATGTTACTGGAGCAAGGAAGAACTTAATCACGTCTGCAGGCCAGGACAGAGTGTGCAAAAGCTAGACTGGGGGTGCTGAGCCAACGGGCCGGGTGAGGGTTGAGCACAGAACTGGGGTCCAAGGGGAGAGGAGGACGGAATTTTATACCCACATTAGCCCACAGGAGTCTCCATCAGAAACCCAGGAGAAACTGTTCTCACTGTAAAGATGAGGAAACGGGCCCAGAAAAGCAGAAAGATGGAAGGCCACGGTTACTAACGGTCTTATTATCTGGTGGTCTCCCAAGCCGCCCCATGTGATACAACTAGATCAATCTTCACAGATGTACAAATTCAAACACCACTTGTTGTGAACAGAGCTTTCATGGACACAGTCTCACAATTCTTATTATAACCACCCTCCGAGGTATAATTATCTCCAGTCCAGAGAAGAGGAGCAGAGATGCTGGCTTGTCTAAGATCAGGACACTGTAAATGTCAGAGCTGGAGCTACAACTCCAGTTTTCTGACTGCAAGTACAGAATAGTTTTTCATTTGCTTTTAAAACAGTTTTCTCATCTCTCCGCTATAATTAGAGATCCCTAATGGTTCCTTGTTGCTTGAAAGAGTATTCCAAATGCCTCCAGCTGGCATTTGAAGCTCCTTTAAGGAATTCAAGATGTCTGTGAAATAAAACTAGAGAAAATAAAAGGGCCCCTTTAAAGGACAAATTACTGTGGAAAGGACAATGAAACAACTTCCTCTTCTGCACCAGACTCAAAACAGAAGGAGCAGAAGCACACGGTCTAGCTAATTACTAGGTAAACGACCTTGGGGATCTGACTGAACTTTCAATTTCCCATCTGTAAACGGGGCCAACAGTAGCTCCCAGGGTTATTAGAATAACACACGTGAAGTGCCTGATGTATGGAGCAGATGCTCCATTAGTTATTTTCAAAATCAATATTATCAGGGCAATGAATTACGGGCGAGAGCACGCAACCCTACCTAGGAAAGCCAGAAACTTCACAGACAGACCTGACCCCTGAGCCGAGATTGGATGAGGAATTCACTGGGAGCAGGCGGGAGGGCAGGGACCCAGACGCCTGAGTGAGTGATGCTGAAGTACAGACTTTGTCCAGCATATGACCCTTCCTAGAGACTGAACTGAAGTATAACTAAAGCTGGTAATCCTCTTAATGAAATACACTTTGGGAAGAGTTCAGATAACAATACCTTTTTCTTTTCAAGGTTTTCTTTAAAAGGTATTTAATTCAAAGATTCAGGAATAAATATACTTTCTTAACAGCATGATTTGTAAATTCTCCTTTCATGAGACAGAAATGAGAAAAGGCAGTTTTCTTTATTAGATGTAAAAGTTCTACCACTTTCCAACTTAGAATTATCAACTATTCAAAATAACTTGGGAGACTTCCCTGGTGGTAGTCCAGTGCTCCCAAGGCCGGGGCCCAGGTCCAATCCCTGGTCAGGGAACTGGATCCTGCGTGCCATAACTAAACGATCTTGTGTACAGGAAAGATGATGGAAGATCCCGTGTGCCACATTACTAAGACCTGGCGCAACCAAAATAAATAAATAATAAATAAATATATATATTTCTTAAAAAAATAAAAATAATTTGCTCACTTTGGATCAGAATATATACACTACTATACATAAAACAGACAACCAACAAGGACCTATTGCATAGCACAGGGAATTATACTCAGTATGCTGTAACAGCATATAATGATGAGAATGTTTTTTAAAAAAAGAATATATATATATATATATATATATATATCAATATACGTGTATAACTGAATCACTTTACTGTATGCCTGAAACTAACCCAGCACTGTAAATCAACTATAGTTCAATAAAAATTTTTCAAAGTAAAAATAAATAAGTTGTTCACTGAAGTAAAGATTTGACACATACCAAAAAAATAAAATTGCTAAACCATTCCTCTACTTCTGGCAACAAGCGTAAGACCCAACTATCATCCACAGAGGCCACACACAAAGGGAAGGGAACAAACATTAATAACTATGGGCCTGTGTGCCGACACTAATGCTGGGGCTTCACATAGCCTCCTTAACTTAATCCCCACAGAAAAACAGGGACTAATGCTGGTCCCATCTTATAACTGTGGTAGGAGAGGAGATGTTTAGCAATTTGCTCAAGATCCCAGAGCAATGAAGTCATGAAACTAAGATTCAAACCTACTTTCAGTCTCCTTTCAAACCAGTCTTTCCTGCCATGTCTTGCTACCTATGCTTCCCAGAAGGAATGAGGGAGACAATGCTTAAGAAGCAGGGATGGTTCAGATCACAAAGGGCCATGCGTCTCAGGATACAGAGGGGATGCTCAGTTTTATGAGCAAATAGGAAGCCCCTGTGAAAAGTTTTTTTTTTTTAATGGAAAGTCATATTTATTTTCCACACAGATCATGCCTGCCCTCCCACAAGCTCCTGTAGCCCAGCTAAGCACTCCTGTTCAAGAAATGAGGACAGTGTGAGGATTCAAAGTAATATTCGAGGAGATGCTGATCTAAAGAATTGAAGACTGGATAAAGGAAGACAGGGCAAAGTGAAGAAAAGAGATGTTCAGGTTTCCTCTTGCTCTGAGGTTTCAACAGATGGTGGTGTCACAGCTGAGACAGGAAATAAAGGAGAAAGTAGGAAAACACGCTTTTAAAACTACAGGCATGACTTAAAAAAAAAAAATATCTCAAGTATGCTCCTGAAAAATCAGGCATAACCTCAAACCCATTTCCCCATAATAACCTCAATGTTTTCAACTGACCGAGCCCCTTAAACATTTTATCCTCATCTACTCCCTTCTGTTCTTCAGTTAGCTATTAGTAATTAACCAAAAAAAAAACCCTGCACATGCTGACAGATCTATGGAAAGGAGCATTTCTGTTAAGTAAACTCCCTAGCTGAGCTGACTGGTCAGTTTGGATCTGTCGCATCAGACTTGAACTCACAGAAGACCCTTTCTGGACCTCCTCCTGCCTTTCCCCACCCTCGGTGACAGAGAGAGACCAGCAGGAAACCATGTTACCTTTGACAGCTCCCCCAGGTCCGGCCGCACCCAGCCCAGTTTATCCAGCACACACTCGTCAAACTGTGCCTGCTGTTTGCGACAGCGACGAAATAGCTGCAGGCCGGAGTAATCAATGCAGGTCCAGTACTCCGTAAAAGGCTCCGCGCAGTGCCGCTTTATCTGCCTGGAAAAGAGGGCTTGGTTAGGAGTGAGCGTGCGTGTGTGTGTGCATGCATGCACACATGCACTCTGTCATGTCTGATTCTTTGCGACCTCGTGGACCACAGCCTGCCAGGCTCCTCTGTCCATTGGAATTTTCCAGGCAAGAATACTGGAGAGGGTTGCCATTTCCTACTCCTGACCCAGGGATCAAACCCGCATCTCCTGGGTCTCCTGCAGTGACACGCATTTTCTTTTCCACTGCGCCAGCTGGGAAGCCCTTGGTTAGGGGCAGCTCTTTGCAGAACCATGAAAAACAAAAAAGTGGGGAAAAATTTGATACAGACCGCAAACACACTGCCTTGCTTTCTGAAAGGTATGAGAGTACTCTTACCTCACCTGCAAGGCAACCTGGAGATCCTCAGGTTGAGGACCAATACGTAAAAAAAGATCTGAGGCATACGAACTAATTTCTTTGTACAGCAAAAACAAATGAAAAGAAATGCCAAAAGACTGTCACCTGGGACTCCCCAGGTAGTCTAGTGGCTAAGACTCCACACTCCCAATGCAGGGGGCCTGGATTCAGAACTAGATCCAACGTGCTGCAACTAAGACCCGACACAGCTAAACACATTAATAAATAAATATTTTTAAAACAAAAAAGGTCTAAGGTGTATATATTTTCCTCAGATAACTCCTCACTTGGGACCTATTTATTCCCCTTAGATCCAATTCTAAAGTTTACCAGCCTTGAAATTTTAGAAGAGAGGGAGGCATACTCAGAGACGTGGTGCTGACAGAAGTCAGAGGTGACAGACAATGACAAAGGAGGAGACAGAATTATAAAAAGCAAATTCACAAATTGACAAGGATCTTCTGATCCTAGGGGTAAATCAGTGTGGAGGCAGACCACCCTCCACACCTCCAAAGCTCAAGGACGTCATTCTATTTGTGCACTGAACAAAAACAGAGATTAATTCTTATCATTAATAAGAAAAAGTTAAACTATATTTGCTCTCTTAAGAAGCAACATAGAATATAATTCATTCTGTGGTCACCAAAAGTGGCTGAAGAAAAAGTAACTTGTGTATGAAAGGGATAAGCCTTCATTATTTTGCAAAATTCCCCTTCTCTTACCATTCAGCGTTGCTAGTAATCAAATAAATGCACATTCAGGCAAGAATAAAATACTGTTATTTTATGTAAAAGGCTATCTATCTGAGGCAGTGGAAGAAGCATAGAGTGCCTCCTTCCCCTGTTGGAATAATAATGAAGAACTTACTCGTCATTTTCCAAGAACCTAGCTACAGTGAACGCAGGAATCATATGTAACATAAGAACTTCAGCGGTGGCTGAAGAAAATACAAAAGAAAAACTGGCTTTTCATTCCTGCTCAGTCCCACTCCTGTAAGGCAACAACGGATATCAGTTTCTTACACCCTTCCAGGTGTTTTGAGAATCCCCTTTGGAGGGTGACAGGAGTTATAACAGGAAGGAAGAAGGAATGTCAGAGCCTAGGGAGCTTTTCAGGGTTAACTGTAGTCTCACTAACCTAGACTTCTACGGTACACAAAATTGCACCCCACTAACCTTGACTAAAGGAACCAGGAACTAACGAGCCTCTTGATGAAGGTGACAGAGGAGAATGAAAAAGCTGGCTTAAAACTCAACATTCAAAAAACGAAGATCATGGCATCTGATCCCATCACTTCATGGCAAACAGATGGGGAAACAATGGAAACAGGGACACACTATTTACCTGGGCTCCAAAATCACTGTGGACAGTGACTGCAGCCAGGAAATTAAAGGAGCTGCTTGCTCCTTGGAAGAAAAGTAATGACAAACCTAGACAGCATATTAAAAAGCAGAGACATTACTTTGCCTACAAAGGTCCATAGAATCAAGGCCATGGTTTTTCCAGTAGTCACATATGGGTGTGAGAGCAGGACAATAAAAAAGGCTGAGCACCAAAGAATTGATGCCTTCGAGCTGTGGTGTTGGAGAAGACTCTTGAGAGTCCCTTGGACTGCAAGGAGATCCAAGCAGTCCATCCTGAAGGAGCTAAGTCCTGGATGTTCATGAAAGGACTGATGCTGAAGCTGAAGCTCCAATACTTTGGCCACTTGATGCAAAGAGCCGACTCACTGGAAAAGACCCTGATGCTGGGAAAGACTGAAGGCAGGAGGAGAAGGGGACGACAGAGGATGAAATGGCTGGATGGCATCACTGAATAATGGACATGAGTTTGAGTAAGCTCTGGGAGATGGTGACGGACAGGGAAGCCTGGCGTGCTGTATGCAGTCCATGGGGTTGTAAAGAGTCAGACACAACTGAGTGACTGAACAAAACCTGGACTTGAGAATCACGCTTGGTAGTGAGCTGGCATGACCATTTGGAACTTTGGACTCCTACAATATGCTGTGGCAGAAAGTGAAAGTGAAGTCGCTCAGTCGTGTCTGACTCTATGCGACCCCATGGACTGTAGCCTACCAGGATCCTCAGTCCAGGCAAGAATACTGGAGTGGGTTGCCATTTCCTTCTCCAGGAGATCTTCCCGACCCAGGGATCGAACCTGGGTCTCCCGCATTGTAGGCAGACACTTTATCGTCTGAGCTACCAGGGAAGCCCAGAAGGGTGTAAACCATCACTCTGGTACTGAGGGCTGTGATCTGGATTCTGCTACCCTGGCACCTACATGAACAGATAATTATCTATTAGCTCTTACAGCAGGCAACTTCAGCATACTGGAAGCTCGTGAAATCCAAACATTTCTCACTTATATATACTTTCTTTGAGGCAAAGGAAAAATGCTTTGCCAAAGTTCTTAGAAAATAAAAAGCTTTCAAATAAATACACATTCTACCTTATTAGCAATCAAATGAATACAAATTCAAACAGGAGTAAAATGCCATTTTGTACCTATCAAATATTTAAATCAAATGCAGTGCTGATGAAGGATACCAGGATACAGTGCTGAGTACAGCATAAACTGACCCAACTTCAAAAGACAGGGCAACTGTGATTCAAGAGCCATAAATCATGTTCAAAGCCTTTAAAAGAATAATCTCATTGCTGGGAAATGTATGCCAATGAATCAATTAAAAAATGAAAATGATCTCTATACAAATGTAACCACTGCAGATTTATCCAAAACAACCAAAAACGGAAATCAACAATGATGTTTAGTAACAAGAATCATGAGGTACATTACGCTTGGTTTATCTACCAGTGGAATATTAGACAGCCATTAAAAATGATCACAAAGAGGGAGCAACTTGAAAGAATGTTTCCAATAGTTTCAAGAGAAAAATGAGTATTTCCAATGAATACACACACTATGACTTTAAGTACAAAAATATCTCTGCATGTGGACAAAGATAGCAAAAGCAAGAAAGAAGGAAAACAGCTATTGTGTGAACAGTTCTTACATCACTGTAGGGGACATCTGTTCGTTTGTCTAGCCAGCAGTCATTCCCCATTCTTCTGGAACATCCTTCGAATTCTCCTTTGGGGAACAACCCCTCCCTATGGCTTGGCAATGTGATTCAGATGAGTCAAAGTCTACTCCCTACTTAAGGCAAGGCCTGACCAGTCACAGTATTTTCTCTCTCAAAACCTAACTGATTCAGAGACACGTACATGAAGTTTATCAGCCAGGACAACGAGACTCAGTTCCAGGGACCTCGACTCATGCTACTGGTTGGCACTCCGTCTGGGTCTGCTAAGGAAGGAACCTAGAAGCTTGGAGTGGCTGGAGGCCATTTCTGCTACAGCAAGGAAGTCTCTCAAAATGAGTTTGATCGAGAAAAGCGGAACTAAGAAACTGAGGGGAGAAGAGGTGACGCTTTAAGACACCAAGTAGTTATGAAATTATTTAAGCCCTTGGATCCAGCCCTGCCTGATGCCAGTCCTATTTCTGGACTTGACACTTAACATGAGTCAATTCCCTATGAATTCAGTTTCTGTCCCTTTGAGTTTTGGCTAATATGGTTGTTAAAACATTTTTCTACAATTGCAATTTGGACTTTTTCTACTTATAGTACTAAGTATAGTAGCCTATCTAAACATTTGACTCTAAACACACCTTCCTTTCCATCATAACTGTGTGTCCTGCAGTTATAATAATGGTAACAAACTAGTGAATGCCTGATAGCTAGCAAGCACTGTTCTAAGTTGCTTTTATGTGCCTTTTCAAATTTCTCACAACAATCGTATATGACAGCTATTACTCTAGTTTGGAAATTGTGATTCACAGAGATTAAAGAAGGTGCTAATATTCACAAGAGACACGACATGGAAAACAACCTAAATGTCCATCAACAGATGAACAGATAAAGAAGATGTGGGGTGTATTGAGTGTGTGTGTGTATACACAATGGAATCCTGCATGCTAAGTTGCTTCAGTTGTGTCCGACTCTTTGCGACCCCATGGACTGCAGCTCATCAGGCTCCTCTGTCCATGGGATTCTCCAAGCAAGAATGCGGGAGTGTGCTGCCATGCCCTCTTCCAGGGGATCTTCCTGACCCAGGGATTGAACCCACATTCCTATGTCTCCTGCATTGACAGGTGGGTTCTTTACCACTAGTGCCACCCGGGAAGCCCATACAATGGAATCCTGCTGCTGCTGCTGCTGCTAAGTCACTTCAGTTGTGTCCAACTCTGTGCGACCCCACAGACGGCAGCCCACCAGGCTCCGCCATCCCTGGGATTCCCCAGGCAAGAACACTGGAGTGGGTTGACAATGGAATCCTACTCAGTCATAAAAGAGAATGAAATAATGCCATTTGCAATAACACAAAGACAGACCTAGAGATTAAACTAAGTGACGTCAGACAGACAGAGACAAATACTGTATGATATCACTTATATGCAGGATCTGAAATACAGTGTTTTAGATGTGTCCACAAATGAACACATCTATGAAACAGACTCACAGATACAGAAATGCAAGTTATTATATATGGGATGGATAAAAAACAAGATACTACTGTATAGCACAGGGAACTATAGTCAATATTCTGTGCTAAACTATAACAGAAAAGAATATTAAAAAAGAACACATATATGTATAACTGAATCACTGTGCTGGACGGCAGAAATCAGTAACATTATATAATGTCACACTAACAGTGTAAATCAACTCAACGTCAAAAAAAATTAAAAAAGAAAAAGAACATATAATAAGAACAAATAATACAAACAAATAACAAAAATAAGTATCATTTACTGTGAGCTTTACAGTGGTCTATCTGATTGCAAAGCCTCCTATTTCCTACCAGAATTAGTCAGTGAAACTATCCTTCCACCTAACTTAGCTGGAAGTTCACGAAGCTAACACACACCTCGATGTTTCAGCCCGCTGGCACCCAGGTGAAAAGCTCGTACCTGAAGAACTCCAGGGCACACTGGTTGACAAGCTTGCCTTCCTCCAAGCACCGCCGGGGGTCCTTCTCTTCCCACCGGCACAACATGAACTCCTTGTTGGGCTTGTCGCACTGAGCGCCATAGTGATGGGCCGCAGCCTTCAGCACAGACGAACTGACTTTCACCTGGGGAGAGGGACGGGGGAGAAGGGCCACAGGTTCCTGACCAGAACACCAGGTCCTCAGCCTCACCTTGAGATCAAGACAGAGGGAACAGGAAGGTAGCCTTGTTCTGACGTGGCCCAGAAAACTAAAGATAGGGACCCCAGTAACAATCCCTTAGGATCCATGGCACTTCCAAGGCCACAGAGCTCCTTCATGCCTGTGATTTTCACACCTTTGTGATAACCTCGTCACGCTGATATCAACAACTCCCACTTGAGACATAAGGGAACGGCAGCCCCAAAAGAATCCTTAGATCTTTGTGAGACAGAACGCGGAACTCTGAAGGGAGATGGAGGCTTCGGGGATGTAAGGGAAGGAACCAACCCTGAGGAGCGTGGATGAGTCTCCTTTTAAAAGTGGAAAGACATGTAAAATTTCCAGAAGGTGACAGAAACACAGATTAGAGACCGCAAGAGACCAGTAACAGCCTGTAGTCTAGCAAGTTATTGTTAAGAATAAAGTACTGCATTTGTGGACTTTGTGAAGTTTAGAGTGCATTCAAGGCAGCCATTCCTACAGCTACCCCAGTCTCCTCACTCGCAGCCCAGCAGTTTCTCAAGAAGCACAGAGTAGCTGCAGCCAGCTCACCATACAGCCCAGAGCCTGCCTAGCAGCTGCTGCAGCAGGGGTCCCGCTGGCCTCTTTTCTGTACCACCTCTTCCGGTACCAGTACCACGGCAGTTTTAATTACTGTTTGTTGTCTGGGAAGACCCTCCTCCTCACCAGCCCTCCTTTACAAAACTGGTCCAGCTGTTCTTACAGATGAACACCCCTCCCCCGATAGTTTGCATTGCAATCATGCTCAGTCTAGTTATATATCAAATTAGACTGGAAAGGGCACTTTTACAATACTGGGTCTTTGCTCACATTTTATCTCCCCAGAGAGTCTCTCCCTGATCATCTTAGATAAGCTAGCTCCGGCAGTCACTCGATCTGTGACCACTGGAATGTAAGCTTCAAGAGGGCAGGGCTTTTGTTTTCAACAGAGGTCCACTACTGTAAAGATGTCCATTCTCCCTAAATTCTAATTAAGGTGATATTTACCATGGTCCACCAAGCACCCAAAACAGTGCTGAGCAGAAGGAGCTGTCACAAATGAGAACAAGACAGGGTAAAACGAGGCATTAAATACTTGGCTTGTGATGGCAGCTGGGGAACGAGAGCAGAAAGAGAAACTGGGGGGCGGGGGGCAGGTTCTCTGGCCATGGGAAGGAAACCCCTGACACAGAGGCCTGGAGAGGATGGGGTGGAGAGACTGGGTTTGTGTGGCCGAAGGAGGAAGTGTGGACCAGGAGTGGGGAGATGAGGCTGGTGCAGCCAGGGGGCTGGTTGTGTAGGAGGGGCTCTCTGAGGGCACCCCCTGGCTTTTATACCTGCTGCATAGCACTCACCCCAGCAAGGGATGTAATAGTTACAGGAGAGGTTAAGACTATCTGGACAATGCTTTCTCATCCAGAACATAGTTATCAGTATGTCTCTCCAGTTAGCTCACATCCTCATTTCCCTCGGTTAAAGTTAGTTTCCCATACAGGAATCTTGCATATTTCTTATTTATTTCTCAATGTTCTCATATTTTGGATACTCTCTAGATAGGTTATATTTCCCTTACATTTTCAAGTTAGTTATTGCTAGTCTGTACCCTGTATCTTCTCTAGAGCCATAGTTCACTAACTCTCTTCAGTTCTGATAGGAAATTCAAGGGGATTAACAGAAAAGCTTCCATGCACAAATAAAAACTGCCTCCCTTCTTCTCTGATGTGCTTAGTCGCTCAGTCATGTCTGACTCTTTGCGACCCCAGGGACCGTAGCCTGCCAGGCTCCTCTGTCCCTGGGGATTCTCCAGGCAAGAAAACTGGAGTGGGTTGCCATGCCCTCCTCCAGGAGATCCTCCCCACCCAGGGATCGAACCCAGGTCTCCCACGTTGCAGTTGGATTCTTTATGGTCTGAGCCCCCAGGGAAGCCCTCCTCTCTGATACTTCTTTTCCCTCCTCTTCTCTTTTCCTCTCTTAATGCTCTGACCAGAACTTCCAGGATGAGACAGACAAACAGCAATGACGGCAGGCTTCCCTGCCTTGTTCCCAACTTTAAGGTAGTTTGGTATGATAAGGGCTGTTGGTGTCTGGGATATACTTGCCTACATGTTCCTCATTAGGGAAGTTTCTTTCTAAACATGACTGGCTTTGTTTCACTGCTGATTCCTCCACCAGGAAAGACTGAAATTTTCACATTTCTTTTTCATTAATCTATACATGTCATGTAGAGCATTAACAGATTTTCTAAAATTGATCCAGTGTACTAGAATAAAATCTAGTCTGTCCTCAGGCATTATGCCTTAAGATACCACTGGATTTGATTTGTAAATATTTATCAAGAATTTTTGCATGAGAATAATTTTATAATATTTATAATAATAAAACTTTTATTTCATTTTTTACAAATTTCACACAGCCTAGGTTATTATTATTTTTAATAAGACCAAAAATAAGAAAAGATAGTTCATCTAAACACTATAGGAAGAGAATAAAGTTATGGCTGTGACTACTATTACATGGGCTGTCCTGGTGGCTCAGATGGTAAAGACTCCACCTGCAATGCAAGAGACCTGGCTTTGATCCCTGGGTTGGGAAGATCCCCTGGAGAAGAGAATGGCTACCCACTCCAGTATTCTTGCCTGGAGAATTCCATGGACAGAGGAGCCTGGAGGGCTACAGCCTATGAGGTCCAAGAGTCAGACAGGAATGAGCGAGCGACTAACACTACACTAATATTACAACCATTAAAATTATCAAAGCAGAGATGAATTTAGGATGGAAGTGAAATTTGCCATGACAATTCTAATAAGCTCATTTGCACATCTGTTAAAATTTTGTATTCCAGTTTTTGATAACAGTTTATTTTAGTTAGTTGAGTGGTACATGCTTGCTATATTACCTATAGAGAGCTGGGAGACTAAAAATCAAGACAAACTATTTTTAAAGCCTAATATATTTTTTAAATTAAGTTAGCTATACTGATTTCCTTGTTGAATGCCTTAGAACATCTTTAAATGACTGATTTAATTACTCCGATGCTTCCACAGCTATCATGCCACCAAAAGTCTATGGCTTTCTTTGCTTTACTTCCTTATAAATGTCTTATCCCAATCTAGGTATGCCCATGCTGTTGAGCACATAATAGATTCCCTGTCACAGGGAAATCAAGGCTGAGAACTCACTGAACTTATCTCCTGAGGAAGAGGACCCATGTGCTCAAGATGGCACGGCACGGCACGGCACGTCACGTCAGTGGCAAGCACAGAAGTGGCAAGAGAGACTTGCCATGACCTCCCATCAGGTCATGTGACACTGCATCATGACCACTGATGTCGCCAACAGCCCTCACCTGCTTCTTCATTAAGACTGATTTGAGTTCCAGCAGAAACCACATCCCTGCACAGCTGCTTACGGTGAATACCCTCTCAGATCCATTCAGCTCCCTTTGTCTCAAAAGAACACAAAATTTCAACGCCCTTCCTTATCTATCCCCATAACAGCCTCACTGCACACCAGGTTTATACAGTCTGCAGGTGTGAAAAGGGGGGCAGAACAAGCCCCATGATCTACAAGCAACCTTCTAGCCCTATTCTCTCTTCCTTACACTCTATCTGCACGCTTTTTTTTCTTTTTGGAGTACTTAATTTATACTAGGCTTAGTATTTTGCTTATTTTACATAAAATGGAGGATGACAGTATACTCAGCTGCTGGAACTGCTGTGAGGCTTAAGTGAGTCAATACACATAAAAATATTATGAAGTGCCTAGCACATAGAAGTACATCGTAAATAAGTTCAGTTCAGTCGCTTAGTCGTGTCCGGCTCTTTGCGACCCCATGGACTGCAGCACACCAGGCTTCCCTGTCCTTCACCATCTCCCAGAGCTTGATCAAACTCATGTCGATCGAGTTGGTGATACCATGCAACCATTTCATCCTCTGTCGTCCCCTTCTCCTCCTGCCTTCAATCTTGCCCAGCATCAGGGTCTTTACCAATGAGTCAGTTCTTCTCATCAGGTGGCCAAAGTATTAGAGTTTCAGCTTCAGCATCAGTCCTTCCAATGAATTCTTAGGACTGATTTCCTTTAGGATAGACTGGCTGGGTCTCCTTGCAGTCCAAGAGACTCTCAAGAGTATTCTCCAGCACCACAGTTCAAAAGCATGAATTCTTCGGCACTCAGCTTTCTTTATGGTCCAATTCTCACATCCATACATGACTACTGGAAAAACCATAGCTTTGACCAGATGGACCTTTGAAGGCCAAGTAATGTCTCTGCTTTTTAATATGCTGTCTAGGTTGGTCATAGCTTTTCTTCCAAGAAGCAAGCATCTTTTAATTTCACGGCTGCAGTCACCATCTACAGTGATTTTGGAGCCCCCCAAAATAAAGTCTCTCACTGTTTCCATTGTTTCCCCATCTATTTGCCATGAAGTGATGGGACTGGATACCATGATCTTAGTTTTCTCAATGTTGCATTTAAGCCAACTTTTTCACTCTCCTCTTTCACTTTCATCAAGAGACTCTTTGTTTCTTTGCTTTCTGCCATAAGGGTGGTGTCAGCTGCATATCTGAGGTTATTGATATTTCTCCCGGCAATCTTGATTCCATCTTGTGTTTCATCCAGCCTGGCATTTCACATGATGTACTCTGCATGTAAGCAGGATGACAATATACAGCCTTGACATATTCCTTTCTCAATCTGGAACTAGTCTGCTGTTCCATGTCTAGTTCTAACTGTTGCTTCCTGACCTGCAACCATATTTTTCAGGATACATCATAAATACTGGCCGTTACTTTTATTCAAAATGGTCAATGTGTCCAAAGAGTTTCCTGCCCAAAGCTTCTGACTAGTTGTCTATAGGCATGTGTCATTAACTCCAAGGTCAGTGAGGTCCAAAATAGGTTTAACTTGCTTCTCAAACCCACCACTTCTGGCTCCCTCAGTCCTATTGTCAGGGTGCAAATGTGACATTGATTCCTCAACCTTTCCTGCCTCTGCTATCTAAGTCATTGCTAAGTCTGATCAATCCTAGATAAACGTGTTCTTTCCTCTCTGTAAGCACAGTCACCAATCATATTGGGGTCAATATCTTCCTCAGTTATTTCAACAGCCACCAAGACTGGTCCCCTTGCTCTTCTTATTCCTCTCTTTCAATCATTCTTCACAGAACTGCTGTCCTAAAAGACAATTTTTATGTTACTCTGCTATTAAATCTGCCACAAAACACTTGAAGGATTCACACTGAACAGCAGACTAAAGCCTAAGTTTCTCACAAGGTATTCAAAGCCTTCTGGATCCCCACTATCCTTCTGCTGTCTCAACACACCAGACTTCAAAAAAGTACTGGCTGTTCTCTAGCACCCGGAACTCACTGTTCCCAGACCTGTCTTTTGGTCCCACCTGCCTACCTTTCAGATCCTGTTTCATTTAGAAAGCTCTTCTCTCCATCTCTGCCTAGAAATGCCATCCTGCAAATGCCATTTAGCCAAGTTTCACATTATGCCCAAGAAGTTTTCTGTTCCCTTCACTGCCTCAGAGGATTAGACAGCTGGAAGCACGTCATTTTACAAATAAAATAACTGTGTCTGCAAACGGGAAAACTGACTAATCAAGGTAACTGAATGGCTAGGCCTAGAATTTAAATACAACTTCAAATCCTCTTTTTTTTTTTTTTTTTTTGGCCCTGCCTTTCAGCAGGTGGGATCTCAGTTCCCCAACCAAGGATGGAACTCAAGACCTTTGTAGTGGAAGTGCAGAGTTCTAACCACTGGACCACCAGGAAGTCCCCTACTCTCTTTTCTTAAATCATATTTGCCCTCGTCTATAGCATTTAATCATATTTTGTCCTGCATTTTAGTTATTTATGCAATTATCTGTTTCTCAATTCAACTGTGTGAACTCTAATGGCAAATTTATTCCAGAAATAGAGTACATCCAAGAAACAGAACCTCAGATGACTGCTGAACCAAATTAGAGTGCCAATGAAGAAACAGAAACTCAAAGTCTTAACCCAGCTTCACAGTGGGGTAAGAAACAAACAGACTGCTGGCAGTACCCACTCCCCCACCTTTTAGTAAATGTCACTTTATTTAAAAGTCTCCAAACACAGCTAAAAATCCTTTCTTCCAAGGAAAATAATAGCTGACATTCTTACAGGCATATAGGATGAAATGAAGTAATCTAGGTAAAATACTTAATACTGGACCTGTAATACAATTTTTGGCATGCAATTTTTCATCTTCCTCTTTCTCCTCCAATGTAGCCTGATTATCCAGTCCTGCTCTGACACTTCCTTGCCTAAAAATATTCCACATCTCCCCATCACCTCACCTATGGGATCCAGAGTCCAAATTGCTCAGTCTGGCCCTGTGAAAGTCGCTACCCAGCCCTACCTCAGCCCCAGGTACCTCTCCAGGCTTGGCCATTGTTGCTTTCCACCAAGAGTCACATCAAACAGCAAACAAAATTCTGCTAAGCCTTCTCGATCTTCTGAGCTTTTGCCCCTAACATGGTCATTTAAAAGTATGGCTTTAAAATTCAGACCTGGGTTCATATTGTAGCTCTATGGCGTGAGGTGTGACCATGGGCATATCACTTCTCTCAGGACCGTATCTGTAACATGGAGAGATCAATTATATCCTCACCTGGCTGAGAGGAGTCTATGAATTAATGTCTGTTGTTAGCATCCTGTCTGAGTCTAGTGTTTGCTATAATTAGTATTATCGGCCTTCACTTCTCATATATCTCTAACGACACTGTACTGTAACCGTACTGTTTCCCTATTAGATTATAAACTCTATGAGGTCAGGATCTATCTCATTTTCCAGTGTATATGCATATGGTAATTATTCAAATGACAGCTCTTGAGTAAATGAATGCTTTAAATGTTCTTTTACCAAACACTTTCCCAGGCTGTTAGCAAATTCGCCTCCAATACTATCTCCTTTTTCTGCGGCTTTCGAGCTCCACTCCAATGCACTCTGCAGCGACAATGCTACTTTAAGGTGACTGTCTCTCTCCCTCGACTGTTAGCCCCCGGGGCTGTACACTCACTTCGTAGAGACGTTTGAGTACCAAGTGACATGAAGTAAAAGGACCCTGGTTGGTGCTTAATAAGAAATACCACTATTATTCACGTAAAGGAGAAGCAGGTTGCTGCCGGGAAGCGGAGAGTTCTCGAGCTACTGAAGGATGGGTCTCCCCGAGACGTCCCGAGGGTCAACCTGTGTACAAGTTGAGGGCATGGGGTTGGGATGCAGGGTCCAGGGCCAGGGTCCGCTGAGTGCAAGCCCGGCTGGGCCTAGGCCCGGGAAGCTGCAGCCCTGTGCCCCGCTTGCCTTCCTCCAGACGAGTCTCACCTCCTGCACTTTCAGATCCTCCAGAGTGGGCAGCTCCACTATCCCCGGCATGATGGCTGCAGCCGCGACCCCGAGGAGGTCCCCGCTGCCGCGTCTCCCCCGTCTCCTTGAACTCCCCTTTCGACCGCCGAAGGCCACCTAGCGTTTGCGCATGCGCAGCGGCAGCAGCACGCAGGCGCACTCCTCTACCCAACCGCGAGCCACGGAGCCTGCGCAAAGCCAGGAAGCTCCCGGACCCTGGGGGAGGGGCTTCTCCTCGGCCCCGCCCATCCCTCCTGGTTGTCATGGTGAGGCAGGATACACTGAGACTCTGGTGTCGCAAAGACTGGAAGCTAGAGTCAGGCGCCATGGAGTACACGGGGAGCCAGTATGTTGGGGAATTTGTAGATGGCAGGTAAGAGGTTCGTTTGATTCACTACGTCCTTGAACATCCGTGAATGGAAAAAGACGGCGATCTTTTTGTCCCTGCAAAGAGTTTTGTATCAGACACTCTCAAATTTTTTCCCTTTTAAACTTAAGGAAAACTCTTTTAGGTAGGAATGTTTATTCCCATTTTACAGTTCAGGTAAATGAGATCCCGAGAAATGAAGTAACTTGTTCAAGGGCGCATATTCTAATTAAAAGCAGAGCTGAGATACATCCATTCCATGTATATATGTGTGTCTGCTATCTGCCAGTATTAGGTACAGGGATAAGAATATAAATAAGATAAGAATATAAAAACTGTCTCATGCAGCTTATCGTCTAGTTAGTATATTGCCAACAGACAGAGAAGATAATTTCAGGTGGTGGCTTTGCATGAATCTTCCCTCCTCACAGCAACCATATGAGATAGATACCCCCATTATCCAGATTGAAAAAGTGAGGTACAAAGTAGTTCCATAACATGCCCGAAGTCACCTAGCTGGCATTTGACAGAGTAGAGATGAAAACTTGGTCTGCCTCCAGAGCCCATGATCTTTCTATTATAGAGTCTTGCTGTTGAGCCCCTGCAGAGGATGCATCTAGTTGAAACAATCCTAGAAGGCTTCGTAGAGGAGATAATATTTGAAATGGGCCCTGAAGGTTGGGTAGGATCTAGGTGGGTGGAGATGCAAAATGAAGAATGTTTTCAGGCAGAGTGAACAGCATAAGCAATAGCTCAGAGGGCTTACATATGAAGGAGAGAGCAAGCAGTTCAGTTTGGCTGGAGTGTAGGATGTGTCTAGGGGAGAGTGGGAACCCAAGTTGGACAGGGTGGAGTCTGTGTTCTGGTGTAGAGAGATTTGAATACTCTGTACAATTCTGTGGGTGGGAGGAGCCATGGATAGACACTTGGTAGTGCTGGACATTAGGAAGTCTAATTTATTTCATCTCTGTATCCCTCCTCTAGTGCATATGTCTGGTAGGCACTCAGTAAATGTTAGCCACATGAATGAATAAGAGAATGAATGAGTGAGTGAATAATATTTGACATATGGTCATCATACCCTTGTTAAGGATTGATATCTTTATTATAAAGGAGCTCTTTTTGTTCTTTTAAATTTACTTTGAATTTAAGATGAAGGCTTATTAGCTTTTTTTTTTTTTGGCTATGCCACATGGCTTGTGGGATCTTAGTTCCCCAACCAGAGATTGATCCTGGGCCCTCAGGAGTGAGAGCTCAGAATACTAACCACTGGACTGCTAGGGAATTCCAAGACTTTTTGCCTTGAATGATAAAAGAAAAATGGAAGGGGAGGAGGAAGAGGGGGAGAAAAGGAAGAGGGAGGGAGTGAGGGAGAGTGGAGGTAGGGAGAGCAGATCAGAGCCCATTGCTGTTGTCCCAGTAAAAGGCAGCAGGACCCTGGGCCAAGGCAGAAGCAATAGGGCTGTGGGAGAGAAAAAAAATGTAGAAGTTTGGGGGTTTCATTGCCAGGACCTGGCAACTGATTGGCTCCTGGTCCCACTCAGAGAATGCTTTCAGTCCAGCCCAGAGCCCAGCTCCAGGCTCTGAGCCTGGAGATTGAGAACACTGAGGAGGAGCCACTCTGGGGGAGGAGAGGATGAATTCTGTTTGCGATGGGCTGGAGATATCTGTAGATGAAGAATACATCTAAGTTACATTTAAAAGAAAAAAAAAGGAGGGGAGATGCCAAATTTCAGAGATGGGTTTAGATGGAGACTGTGTTTAGAAATAACAGATATAATCTGAAGCAAAGAGGCAGAGATATGAAGACGAGTTCTGTCTCCTCCTATGTCTTGCAGCAAAATAAAAGCAAATTAGTATTTAAGCTCTTCTGCTATAGTTTCATAGCCATTAGTGCAGTAATTTTTCAGAAGTGTCATTATCCCTATTTTATAGATGAGAAACTCGGGCTTAGAGAGGTAGAGGTCATACAAGGCGTAGAGAGGTGGAGCCAGGCCTGGACTCCAGGTCTTCCTGGCTCAGAAGCTGTGCTTAACCACAGTGCTCTCCTGTTTGGGGCCTGTGTACGGTGGCAAGTTCTGTCATCCACTCAGTAAGTTCACTAGTTCTGTTTCCTTCATTCTTTACTTAGTAGCACCTGTTTAACAAGAAACATGTTTCTAGAAGCTAAGAATACCAAGGTCTTCCTCTCAAGAGGCTTGATTACATAGGAGAGATGAAATATACAATTATGATACAAGGAAGAAAGTGCTAGGCATCCAACAGAGGTACAAACAAAACCAAAAATAAGTTTAGAGTTAGGAAAGATGATTTCTAGCCAGTGGGGAAAAACAAAGAAGGCACGAATGAATGACTGAAAGCTTGTTTCTTACGCTCTCACTATATATCAGGCCCTTTACTAGGAAAACTGTTATTAGTATCTGGGTTCATCTTGGGCATTAATCTCAGCCATTTCCCCTATGAAGCAAGTGGCCATCTGGTCCAGGCGGCACCCTGCCCCTTGCTCCCGTAGGGGCCTATCTCCCCTTGCAGGGCCCTGATCACGCATTGTGTAATTGTTTAGCTGTGTCCCTCACTAGACTGTGGGCCCCTCAAGAACAAGGACTGCCTCTACCTCGATCACTGTTGTATCTATAGTATTGTATCCAATAGAGTAGACTTAGCAAGGCACCTGGCGTATAGCAGATGTTCTATAAATATTTGTTGGAATAAAGGAAGGAAGGAAAACAGAGGTTTAGGAAAGTCTCCAAGATGGCACATCTAGCATATGATGAAATGAGACTCAAATTCTTGTTTCCTCAGGTGCATACTTTACCCGGTTTCCTACTTGGGGTGCAGTGGGCAGGGGTGGGCTGGTTGTGGGGAGTGGAGAAGACCCGGAATCAGCTCCCAGAAAGCCTGGTCCCTGTCTCTGCTTCACAGTGCTTGCTGTGTGGCTTTGAGCACATTGTTCCCCTCTCTGGGCCTCCAGAGGGGGTCTTCCATGGGCAACATGAACTCCAGGACAGCCCCTACTTGAGAGCAAGGGAAAACAAACAGACCAAATCTTGCATTCCCTTCAACACACAGCCCCTCTTACTTTTGAGCTCTAAGGGGAGCATTTTTGTTTCTGAACAGAATAGTGCAGGGACAATAACATCTGGGGACCCTGAGGTGCTGGCTCTCCTGCACCCCTGCCTCTGATCCTCCAGTCACCATGAGGGTTCAGTGACTTCTTTTTGTCCTTACAGGATGGAGGGCGATGCCGAATACATCCTCCCAACTGAAACAAAATACATTGGGGAAATGAAGGATGGCATGTTTCATGGCCAAGGAACCTTGTACTTCCCCAATGGGAGCCGATTTGATGCAGTTTGGGAGAAAGGGTTGGTTGTAAAGGTAATCAGGTGGGGAGGGGAAAGCCTCAGACGGGAAGAGCCCCCGACGGGCACCCTGCCCTCCCCTCTGCTGCCCTCCTCTCCCGCCTCTTGATCTCCAGGGCTCTGGAATCTTCTCCCTCTCTATCCAGAAGGCCCCTGGAGAAGCCATAATGAGTCTGAATCCTCTTATGCGACCAACTATGTGACCTTGGGCCCATGACCTACCCTTTCTGAGACTCCTGTTTCTTATCGGTACACTGGGGACAATAGTTGTCTTAGTATCATAATGCTGCTGTAACAAATTACTGTCAACTCAGTGCCTTCAAATGACAGAAACTTGTTATCTTTTAGTTCTGGACACCAGAAGTCTAAAACAGGCCAGCAGTGCGTCTTCCTTCTGGAGGCTATGTGGGAGGAACCATTTCCTTGACTTTTCCAGTTCGTGGAGGCTGCGTGCATTCCTTGGCTCATGGCCATGCATCCCTCTGACCTTCACTTCCGTCCTCACATCTCCTCTCCCTCTGCTTTTGTCATCGTCTCGTCTTCTATCACTCTGACCCTCTTGCCTCCCTCTTAAGAGAACCCCTATGATCACACTGGACCCATATAGATAATCCAGGATAATCTCCCCACTTCAAGATCCTTAACTTAATCCCACCTGCAGAGTCTCTTTTGCCATTTAAGGGTAACATTCATAGGCTCAATGATTAGACATGGACATCTTTGGGGGACTGCAAGTCTGCCAGCCACAAGAGTATGAGGCTTCTCCTTAGGCTGGTTATGAGAATAAATGAGGCAGTGTGTGAGTACTCTACTCAGTACCTGGCACACAGTAAGTACCTAGCACTCAGTAAGTGCTAACTCCACCATTACAATCAGATGACTTATCAGTCATCTAAGTCAAGAGTTCTTAGCCTGGGATTTGTGGGTCACAAATAGAATTCAGGGTGTCAGTGAAATCTCCTGATTTATATACAAAAGCCTCTGTGCACATGGGACTCAAATTTCACCAGAGAAAGGATCTATAACTTTCATGGGTTTCATTATGGGTGGGTACAGGGGCTGTCTCATAACCTAAAAAAAGGTTAAGAAACACTCCTTGCTTTTCAGCTTGGAGAATCTAAGCCCCAGGAAGGGGATGTGACTTACCCAAGGTCACCCTGTGAATTAATAGTATTGGAATTTCCACCCATGTTTCCTGATGCCCAGGCCAATGCAATGTGTACATCCTGAGGCTTCCTTAAGCACTAAGGCAGCAAAAGATGAATGTACATGTTTGGACAAAGAATTGTGACTGAGGGCCC